AGGGTTTAGGGTTTAGGGACCAGGGACTCATGAACTTCCTTTGTCAAGGGCTCTAACATTTTTTTAATGGAGGGGGAGGGGTTTGTTAATCTAGAGATCTACGTTGAAAAGTTGCTGAAGGTGGCCAACTTCACCTTTGCCAGCCAGCGGCTTTCTGCCACTAGCAGCCTCACGAAGCTTTTGCCCAAGGTTCAGGCCAGTTGCTTTGCTGAGTTTAAGTCGGGTTTCAGCATTTAGAACTTGGGTTTACGGGTTTGGGTTTTTAAGTTTTGGGGGTTTAAGTTTCAGAGTCTCAGAGGAGTGTCGTTTGGAACAGTGAACTCCGACATCTTCCAGGCTTTTTGAATTGGATGTGTCATTCTGCCTGATTGGCGTCTGTTGCCGTTGGTATTGCTGCCTGCAAATTGGACGATGTGCAGCTTGCGAAGCCACGAATTCCAAGACAATCAAGGTCTCACGTAATATAGGGGCCTCAAGAACTACCAACACTAGTTTCGGGGTTCCTTATAGGGGTTCCTTATTATACTTATAGTNNCAAATTCTTATTCTAATTATTAAGGCCTCTGTGTTAGATGCGTCTCTGAACTCTGCACAGCAGCTTCTCGCACAAAAGAAATCGAGGGCCCCCTTAGCAGGAGTTTGTCAGAGGCTTGAGGAACCCTAAGCCCTAAGCCCTAAACCCTAAACCCTAAACCCCTAAACCCCTAAACCCCTAAACCCCTAAAGCCCTAAAGCCCTAAAGCCCTAAACCCTAAACCCTAAATATGCAACCCTGGCATCCTGCCAGGGGGATTCTTGCAGCTGGCGGGTCGAGTTTCAGAAGTTTGTGACCTGGGAAGATCTCGATCGAAATGGGGAGAGGCAGGGGGGCGGGGGCTTCAGACCGGCTTCGAAGCTCAACTTTGCCATTTTGGGCTTAGGGTTTAGGGGTTTAGGGGTTTTAGGGTTTAGGGTTTAAGGTTTTGGGGTTTTAGGGATTTAGGGGTTTAGGGTTTGGTGTGATTCGGGCAATATGGAAGCAAGAACAACTACTAATAACGCCCACAAGCCGTTCCGACGTAGAAGACGGGCTTTCGGGTTAGTATAGGACCCTGAACAAGTCAATCGGGCATGGGTGGGTATGCTGTACTAGAACTGCAGTTACATGCGACGATGCGGGATTCTGGTTCTAACCCATTATTCCGACCCCACTAATTAGTGGGGAAGGCTCATTTCTTTTTATTCTTCTGGCCTTCCTGCTGTCTGTCAACGAAAGCCACCCGCTAGCAGTTATTCCATTGGATGCCCCCCTCTAAACCCTAAAACCCTAAACCCTAAGCCCACTGGGAAGGAGCAGAACAAGAGACGACACTCAGTGGATAGATCGGTGCCAGGTGCTAAGACCCGAGCCCTGAACCCTAAACTTTACATCAACATCCCTTAGAGCTAAAATGCTGGACCTGCGAAACCCAAGCCCTCACACCTTGAACCCTAAACCCTAAACTCTAAACCCTAAACCCTAAGCAAAAACAGCCCTAAGTCTAAAAGCCTACTCCGGCAGGTTGCAGAAGATCCAGGAGGAAGGCTACGGGGCCGATGTCGCCGAAGACCTTTCCGAGGCGACTTCTGCTTGTCCTAAACCCTAAGCCCTAAACCCTAAACCCTAAACCCTAAACCCTAAGCCCTAAACCCTAAGGGAGCTGTTCCTTTTTTTGTTGCAAGGCCTCAGCCTGCTTCCCAACGCAAAAGAAGATCCGAGACCGAACAGAAGACTGTGGAATTGTCATTATCTGTCTGATATGTGTATACACATTATGTATATATACACACATATATATATATATATGTATGTATGTATGTCACATACACCTACATGTGTACACATGTATATATGTTTAAATATTCATGCAAATTTATATCCTTGTATAGTGGATAACACGTTATCGCTAACGTATGTGGCATCTACTGTATGTTCCAGAACGGATTCGGTGCTTCAACTCGACTCTGATAGATGGCAGGATTGTGCCCTTAGACGCCTTCTTGCGATCGGAGCTGTCCTGCAGGTTTTCGTGCACTGGAAGGTGGTGGGACCTGACAACCAGCTAATCCATTCCTCGAGGCGGGTTTCGAAACAGCGCTCGGAATGCAGAGGTTGAGGATGACGTTGGACTTGTTTGAGGCTCCAAGCCTACAATGCTGGGCTGAGGTGTTGGAGACGCTTTGTGCTGTGGGCAGGTACACTGTGAAGATGGGAAGTGGGCAAGACATGAAGCAAGTCGAGGACGAGGCGGAGCCGGCTTCGCAAATGTTCCTTAAGCAGCAATGTATTTTTTAACATGCCGGAGCCAGCCCGGCTTCACCTCCGAGGTGGATAGTGGAGAACTTAGAAGAAGATTGCTGCTGGACTTGAGAGGACAAGGTGGCCCCCTCCTACATCATGGGTGAGACGGCGCGGGCGCTTGATGTGTGCTCGTGTGAGTCGTGATCAAGCCCGGCACAGGGAGGGCTCCAGAGATGCAGAGCTCGGACAGTAATATAGGGGCCTTACTAATTAGAAGAGTGTTCGGGGTAAGTTACAGTATAATCATAATAAGGAGCTCCCAGAACCCTATTCTAATCATTACGGCCCCTACATTATATACCTTGAAGCAGTAGCAACAGGAGTCGTAGCAGTAGCCGTATCAGCGTCGCAGCCGATTTCGCAGTGGCAGTGGCAGTAGCAGCAGCAACGGTAGCAGGCAGCTGTAGGAGGAGTGGGAGTAGATGGAATACGAATTAGAGTAGAGCACTAGCACATTAGCACTCCATCACAGAGGAGTCGTCGTCGTCGTAGTAGTAGTAGTAGTAGTAGCAGTAGCCGTAGCCGTAGCAGTAGCAGCAGCAGTAGCAGTAGCAGCAGTAGTGGTAGTAGTGGTGGTGGTGGTAGCAAGAGTAAAGCAGTACAAGTAGTACTAGTAGTACTAGTAGTACTAGTAGTACTAGTAGCACTAGTACTTGCACAAGTGCTAGTAATAGTGCTAGTCGTCGTCATCGTCGTACATCCGACCCCCCCTGACCGTGAAACCGTTTACCGCCAAACTCTAAACTCTACTGTCCTAAACGCTCAGCAAAACCCTACAATTTAGAATTTTCAAAGAAGGATGTTTCATTATGGTCTTCCCAAACGAAATCTCTAGCCGATATCCGAAGCGCTCAGACCTGGAGCCCTGTGGCGACGATCTGCCGCAGCCTTCGGCAAGGCGGAGCCGGGCACTCGGTGGCCAGGGTTTGGCATCCTGGTAGTTCTGTCTTTCAGGTGTTAGGCGTTTTCCAGAAAGCTGATCCGTTTATAGTTTGGGGTTTAGGGTTTCGGGTTTATATCTTTTTTTTTTGGTAGCTTGGGGTTTCTATTTTTTTTTATAATTTGGGGTTTCGCTTGAGGGTGACAGCCTTGGGGTCAGTGCAGACCCCCGATCTTCCCACGTGGAAGCCCTGAGCTCTGAGCTCTGAGCCCCGAAACCCGAGACTCTAATACAGAAGCCTAAATCATTACCTATACTATTTTTTGGGGGGTTCCTTATTATAATCATAGTAGAATATACCCCAAAACCCGATTTTGATTGTTAAGGCCCCTACATTGAAACCGTAAGCCAGTCCCCAAATCCCAAGCCCTAATTTTACGTACGCCCGAAATCCTGGAAACCTCGAAACCCACCCAAAAGCCCTCCAAACCGAGCTTACGAGGTGGGCGAGCTCCGATTGAGGCAAGTCCCTGAGCTCCCGAAGGAGCCAGTTTCCATTTTCCGGGTTCTTCTAGGATGTTGTAAGGTTTTGCGGCGGTCTCTCTAGGGGTTATAGGATGTTACAAAGGTTTGCACGAGAGACATAGTTTCATTATGCAGTGACTGGGTCCTCGGAACGACCCTGATGCATGCAATTAACTGCATATATGATATTACATATGAAACGTGATGTGCAGTCTGCTTGTGTACGAGTACGTAAGTAAGTAGGTACGTATGTAAGAAATGTGTAAGTATGTAAGAAGGTATAAGGATGTACGCGCGTACGTATGTAAGTTCATAACTATATGTGTATGTATGTACTTATGTATGTATGTATGTATGTACTTATGTATGTATGTATGTATGTATGTATGTATGTATGTATGTATGTATGTATGTGTGTATGTATGTCTGTATGTCTGTATGTATGTATGTATGTATGCAT